GGTGTATGGGGGCAGTATGGGGGGCAATGTGTGTATGGGGGGGCAGTATGGGTGTATGGGGGGCAGTATGGGTGTATGGGGGCAGTATGGGGGGCAATGTGTGTATGGGGGGACAGTATGGGTGTATGGGGGCAGTATGGGGGGCAATGTGTGTATGGGGGGACAGTATGGGGGGCAGTATGGGGATCAGTGTGTGTGTGATAAGGGTAGGGGGGCTTTTTTAAAAAATATATATTTTATTAATTTAGTTTAATATAAATAATCATTATGTCCCCCCTCCCTTCTTACCTTTACTGGGGGGAGGGGGGACATTTCCCTGGTGGTCCGGTGGGGGATTCCCTGGTGGTCCCAGTGGTGATGAGAGTGAACTCTAGCCCGCGCTCCCGGGCTAGAGTTCACTCTCGCGAGATTTGGAGCGTTGCCGTGGTAACCGCGGCAACGCTCCAAATCTCGAGTGAGGAGGACCCGGAGGAGCTGCATACTGAGCTCCGGGTCCTCTCTCTCACTCCCTCCTTCCCCCGCCGGCCGCCAGCACAGTGCCTGCGGACCGGGGAGGGAGATCTCTGATCTTCCTCCCCGGTCCGCAGGCACATTGCAGGGCTAGCGCCTGCATGTGCCGGCAGGGGAGAGGGAGACCGGCGGATTTCTCGGGGGGGGCAATTGCCCCGTTGCCCCCCCCCTGGATCCGCCACTGCCTTCAGAGTTTCTTTCATGTTGTTCTGCAAAATGTTTGGAAACACTGTGATTAACAAACATTTTGCGGAACAACATGAATGAAACCCTGAAGGTTTAATTTTTTTAGGCATAGAGAAAATAAAGCAGAATTGAGGTGGATGTTTAACCTCAACACCCTAACCCTGGATGTGCAATGGTCAGGTTTCCCAATAATTTTGTCAATATATTGTAAATGAGGCTGACTGTGACATAGGCCAAGACTCCTGGTACTTATTTCCCCATCAACACACTTAAAGCAACACTATAGCATTAGGAATACAAACTTGTATTCCCAACTATATAATGTCCTAGTGCCTAGTTAAATTATTGCTCCCTCCTACATTAAGTACATAAGGCAATTTACTCACCTTTAATCCATTGCCACACTAGTCACTATCCTGCCTCTTTGGGAGGCTAGCGCTCATATGCTGCAAAATGCCACACTACACCAATCAAAATGCTCTCTATAAGCAGCATTTGATTGAATAACTGAATCTGACTTGGTTATTCAGCAGACACGTGTAGTGGATCACAGGTAACCCGACTGGTTACCTCCACTAATTCCCTTCCTTCGGCCAGTAAGGAACCATGTAAAGGACAAATAGACCATATCCCCCCAGTAACTGGACGACATACAGTCCTTGAGGTACAACACAATTTTATTGGCCACAAATGGCTTGTATGCATAACCCCTGCAACGGGTGGATCACAGAAAACATACATGGTCACCTCCCAGGATCCTACCCCTCCCTGAGTCCCTAGCATGGGAAAGGGACTCTGTTCCCTTTGTCCCCAAAGCCCGCCACTAAAGTCACAGGGTTTCCCACACCAACCGGCAGAGGTCTTCTTCCCAAGAGCCTCTGTGCCTCGGCATGGAAAAAAGGGCCCGTCCCTTTGTCTCCTAGGCACAGAAAAGCCCCTCACGGAAAAAGAGCTGGTCTCTTTGTTCCTCAGGCTCATGAGAGCCCGCCAAACTTGCCAGTGCCCCAAAAGTGCCCACACCAATCTCAGGGACCCTCCCCTCCCCATACGAACAGCGGCCACCCAGGGAAGCACTTATTAATTACTTCCCTTGTGATTTCACACCTATGTGGTGAGTGCGAACGTTCTGAATTATTGGTGTGAACATTATAGGGGAGGCCCTTGTTCGGGAGACGATCGAGGCAGGAGGCAATCCACAAATGCTCCCCCTGGTAGCGTTTGCTTGTACGGATGGCGGCCACCCATTTAAGCACTCATTAATTGTTTCCCTTTGCGGTTTGACACTTATGTTGCGAGGCGTGAACATTCTACCCTAACATTCTAAATGATGGATTGGGGTGGTCCCAGTTCGTGAGGTGAATGTATTCCCTTCTTGGAAGACCTCTAGAAAAGGGAGCTGGCACAATAAACGAAAGAATGGGGAAAACACACAATGTAAAGACAGGCAATTCACGGATAGGCAGTGGGTTCGCCACAAAACGCCTCAGGAAGATGTCAGGAAGACAATCACAAGAGGTGTGCTAGGGTTGTATAAACTAAATGGTAATATGTGCTGGTTCTAATAATATTTAGGTGTTAACTGATGACAAAACACATTAACTTATAAAATATATTAATTAATACTACAATTATTAACTCCAAAGTATTATTTCTTTTATAATAAAATACTAATTAATACAAATATTAATTCCTAACTAGTAAATTAAGTTGAATTGGAAGTGCAAAGGGAAGAAATGTTTAAATTTAGGATATGTTTTTCTAGGCTGAAGAGCATAAAATCAAGAGTTGGATTTTAGATTGGCAGACACATATGGTTTTTAAGTACATAACTTTTTAAATGCAAGTTGGAGGTGTCATGCTGCATTTATAGAGCCAATTATGAAGGGCATTGCTAATCTGGATAGATTGCAAGAAATGTCTTGGCATTAACAGCATTTGTCAACAGAACAATCAATCATCTGAATTTGCTATCACATCATTCTTAAATATAAGAATATATTTCAATATACCGGTACCTTCATATATATGTTTTAGATGATTCACGTTTTTCGCATTATAAAGTCTCCATGTTGCTCCGTATAATGTTTTTATATGTATCTCAATTTTAAAGCGCCTCTGCCACCTTATTCAATTTGTTCCTCTTCTCATTCTTACTCCCAATCTGTTCTTCATTTCCTTTTTTCAACCTATTTTTTCTAAAATACCTAATGCAAAGTAGGGACTGCTTGACAAAAGGTGAAGTAAAATAATGCCCTATATCGACAGCATGATTGCGAGATAATATCTATGGAGGGTCGTCTTGCGCAAAGGTACAGAACTGACATTGTCTTGTTTACTCAATCAGCAGCCTAATTGCGGTCGCACAACCCCCTAGCTCCTCCCTCTTTATTCCCCTCGGACTGACACAGGCTGGCACAGTCTGAGGGGAAAATAGTTAAATTACAAGAGCCTGATTATAAGGGCTGTCTGCCCGGGCCCAGGTGCCGCGGCCCACAGGGAAATATCCCAGTGGGCCAGTCCGTGCCTGCGTGTGTGTGTGTGCCTGCTAGTGAGTGAGATTGTGTGTGTGTGCCTGCTAGAGAGTGAGCTTGTGTGTGTGTGTGCCTGCTAATGAGTGAGTTTGTGTGTGTGCCTGAGAGTGAGTGAGCTTGTGTGTGTGTGCCTGCTAGTTAGTGAGTTTGCGTGTGTGTGTGCCTGCTAGTGAGTGAGTTTGTGTGTGTGTGCCTGCCAGTGAGTAACTGTGTGTGTGTGTGTGTGGCTGCTAGTGAGTGAACTTGTATGTGTGTGTCAGTGAGCTTGTCTGTAGTGAGAATGTGTGTGTATCAGTGAGCTTGTCTGTAGTGAGCATATGTGTGTCAGTGAGCTTTTCTTTAGTGAGCATGTTTGGGTCAGTGAGCTTTTCTGTAGTGAGCATGCATGTGTCAACAAGTTTTTCTGTAGAGAGCATGTGTGTGTCAGTGAGCTTTTCTGTATGGAGTATGTGTTTGTCAGTGAACTTGTCTGTAGTGAGCATTTGTGTGTCAGTGATCTTGTCTGTAGTGAGCTTATGTTTGTCAGTGAGCTTGTCTGTAGGAAGCATGTGTTTATCAGTGAGCTTTTCTGTAGTGAGCATGTGTGTGTGAGCTTGTCTGTAGTGAGCATATGTGTGTCCAAGAGCATGTGTGTGTGACAGTGAGCTTGTGTGTGTAGTAGGCTTGTGCGTGTCAGAGTTTGTCTGTACTACGTTTGTGTGTGTATACCAATAGGCTTGTCAGAGCTTTTGTATATTAGTGAGATTGTTTGTCTATGAGGCTGTGTATCAGTGAGCTTGTGTGTGTCAGTGATATTGTCTGTGTCTGCATGTGAGTATGCCATATTTTACAGTGTAAAAGACAATATCTCTTTCTAAAACTAATTTGTCTAAAACTGGGGGTCATCCTATACATGGAATACACAGAATACAGGGGTTAAAAAAAAATACAAAACTTGCCTAAGCCTCTCTCCCGCCGTCTCACTCGTCCAATCTCCCTCCCGCCAACTCACTAACTCGGTCTCCCGCCCACCGACTCACTCACTCACCTGGCCTCTGTATCCTCAGGGGCTCTCTACCATCTCTTGACTTTCCCTCTATCAGTGCTGGGATCTGCAAGTTACCCTCCATCTCTCCCTCTCTCTCTTGGTTTGGATTACAGCTCTGCCCTCCATTCTTCTCCCTCTCTCCCCCTGGGAATGGAGAGCAGAGCTGTAATCCCTCTCTCCCCTGGTCTATATTACAGCTCTGCCCTCCATTCTTCTCCCTCTCCCCCTGGTCTATATTACAGCTCTGCCCTCCATTCTTCTCCCTCTCTCCCCTGGTCTATCTAACAGCTCTGCCCTCCATTCCCTGGGATGAACAAATTCAAATGGCACACTAACTGCAGTCCACTTTTTCAAATACTTGGGTATGATGTTGGACCCCAAACTATCTTTTGGCCTGCACATAGAAAAGCTTGCATCTAAACTTTATCCAAAACTAGGTGCCCTGTACAGAAACAAATCCTCCCTAAGTTCGTAAAGGAAAAGATTGTACAGCAAATGCTGATGCCAATCATTGATTATGGGGATGTAGTATATGCATCTGCATCGCAATCCCACATTAATAAACTCAATACATTGTATAACTCGTTCTGCCAATTTGTGCTACAATGTAATTACAGGACCCACCATTGTGACATGCTAAAAGAACTAAACTGGCTGTCGCTGGAATCCAGACGCACCCTTCATCTTTCCAGCCTTGTGTTTACGAGCTTTTCTGGGAAACTCCCACCCTACCTGAACAAAATGCTTTCCCCAGCTGTTCCCACTTCCTATAACCTCCGATCCAGTACCAACGCTTTACTTAGTCTACTTCAATACAAAAAGAAAACGTCCCGATCCTCCTTCTCCTACAGAGCTCCCCAATTGTAGAACAACCTCCCGCACAATTTAAAATCTTCCCTAACCCTAAAGTCCTTTAAGAGATCCCTCTCTACATACCTCAAAACAGAATGCACCTGTCATGGTTGATTATATATTTCCTACCTGTTCTATGTTAAATTTTGTATATATTGTGTATTAATATTGTTTTTGTATTTTGTTGTACCTAATGTAGCAATGCAATGATTTGTGGACCCAGGACATACTTGAAAACGAGAGAAATCTCAATGTATCTTTCCTGGTAAAATATTTTATAAATAAAAATAAATAAATAAATAAGTGGTCTGGGTGCAGTGGTCCTGTCATAAAAAAAACCAAAAAAAAACAAACCTTAATAATAAAACATTGCAGGGTTAAACACACCTCTAGTGTCTCCCAGACAGCCACTAGAAGTGCTTCCTCCATAAGGATTGAGTAAACAGTAAATAAGAAAAGTAAAAAGCATTTTTTGTACAGTTCTTACATAGAGAAACAGGGGGTGGGGGGGTGCTAAATAGATGCTAAATCTATTTAGGGACAGAGGCACCATAGCATTAGAAATAATAGTGCTTATAAATAAACCTTGTTACACCCCTCTGGCTGTCAGTCAGAAAACTGGACCTGTTACTTCCTACTTGTTCTCAAGGGACAGACAAATGCTAAGAGCACATGCCTGGGTGCAGTGCTGTGTAATACATGAAGTGTCAAGCTGGTGTCACCAGAGTGACAATTTAGTTAACTGCTACTAGCAATCGCCTCATGATTAAAATCATAAAACAGCGTGGATCTCTGGAACACATTAGCTAATCATTTTATGGAGAACACTTTTAGATATTTTCATTTTTACTTCGTTCCATACATACTTGTTTAGGTGGCAGTCAATGCATGGGCATGTAAGATATAACTAGAGTTAAGCAAAAGTAAAAAAATGAAAATGTTAATAAAACGGTAACTAGTTGAATGATAGTATGAAATATTTTGCATGATACAATCATAATCAAAACTATGACTGGGCATCATGAGAGTTGCAGTCCTACAAAGAGCTAAGGGACTTTACCATTCAGTTACACCATTGTAAACTGTATTGGGAGAAACCTTCCTGTATATATCTATCTGTCTGTCTGTTTGTCTGTCTAGTAGTAAATAGCACATGATTACTAAAAATAAAGATATAAAATATGTTTCTATAAAACCTCAAGGCAGACAATGAACATATCTTCCTGTGAAGCTATCCAATGTGAATAACTATCTAAACACTGCGGATTAATTATTACTAAACAAGGAGGTATCAATTTCATGTCTATTTATACAATCATATTATATGATTCCAGGGATATCTGCTTTATCTCTCTCAGAATAATCGATGCCTCACAAGTTACAGGTTCTCATACTTGCATGATGAACAGAGAACCAGACGTTGATAAAGAACCAACGTAGTGAACTTTAACCCTTTCACCACCACAACTACGTCACGCACACTCTTGAAGTAGGGTGCGTTCGTGACAATGAGAATATCTGGATTTGCCACATTTAAAGGAACTATTGCACCTTTGTATAAACATTTATATGCATGACTAAATAAACAACAATAAAACACACACAGTACTTACCTGCAAGGAAATCTGCAGCGGAATGAAACCACTGCCTGCAGGAACAGACTGAAACAAAAAGGATTAAATGGAAAAGGAATGGGTGTGGCGACAAAAAAACAAACATTTAAAGGAATCCAGGAGACTGGGAATTCCAGGAACGGAATAAAGGAATGAACCCAGAAAACCCAGCATAAAGAAAACCAGACATAGAATAGAAAACCAGAAAAACCAGGAAAACTAAACAAGAATTGTAAAAAGAGTACTGGATACCAGAAGCCAAGGCCAGACATCACCGCAGAACAGAAGAGGATATGACAATTTTAGATTCATATTGTGTTCATACTGCGCAGCCATTGGCCTCACCAAACAGGCATTCTTTTCCTCTCTCATGCTCATGCTCTCGCAATCCCAGGAGTCTCTTTGACACCTTTAACTCTCTTCTTCGCCCTGCTGGGGCCACTCCCCAAATTAACCTTACAGCCGATAAGTCTCACAGTGGCAACGCTCGGAGTCATTCAGTGAGCAGAGAACCATAAGAAAGTTAATCTTTACATTTCAATTCAATGCATTGTGAACAAACCACAAATGTATATCCTACATTAAAATATTACACTGCCACATTTGTATTTTGGCATTTCCCCTTACGTACATTCGCAACCTCACACAAGTGCCCATGAATTAGCAGCCACTTATTCCAGCCAAGTATGTGTATCCTGTGCAATGTCAAGAATTCTGGTTTCTTTTTCACCAGCTGTTCACTGTGAATTGTCAGTTTGCCCAGAAAATTAACAGATGAAAGTGATTCAGGATTTAACTGAAACAAAAAATAATTCCACTTTTTAAAAAAACAGAAAATCTATAAGCAAATTGGTCTTCCCCCCCCTCCCCCTCGTGTTACGTTAAAATTACTGGCAATTTTCGACACCCTCAGGTTTATGAAACTCTCTGTTTGCTGATTTGAAGTTCATGATCCTACATATGAACATACTTTAGACGGGTAAGGAAAATGTAATTTCAATATTTGTAATTCAGGGGTTATTCTCAGTAGGGCCCAGATTTAGAGGCAGATTTATCACAGCATAACAGGTGCTACTCGTCGTCCAAAAAGTGACAGTTCCACTTTAATAATACATAAATAATTAGTTCATGTCATGTTTTATTATATATATATATATATATTTTTTTTTATTTTATTTTTTTCCTATTGTCACTGGAGCTCGGCACATTGTGAGTGAGCATTTAGCAAATATAAATATCACTATTTTTCATTTTATCACAGAATAGTATGTTACTTTTTGTATCATTTTTTAATTATATTTATCAATGAGATATACATTTGTGGGAAGGTAGAAACTGAGTAAGTTGAACTCATTTTATTATTACACTTATGCCTCCTTTATTGGGTGTATTTATGATAAAATAGATATAGCATTGAACAATATGTTAATGTCTAAATACAAAATCAAACTGCATTGAATGCCTTTTTTAAATCAATGCAACTTTAGGAGGAAAATTTTACTGTGCAGCACTGCCCCAGGAAGCACCTCCAGTGGCCATCTGAGGAGTGGCCACTTGGAGGTGTCCCTAGGGGGCAATGTAAACACTACCTTTTCTCAGACAAAGCCGTGTTTACATGAAAATACTTGAAGGGAATGATTATAGTCACCAGAACAAATACATTAAGCTGTAGTTTTAATTTAAAGAGGAGTGAGTTAGAAACACCTTGCTTTCCCTCCATCAGACGCTTTATAAGAATTTGTCATTAATACAATTTCAAATATATAAAGAATAATGTAATATACCGTTATGAATATTTTGGGCTGCTGTACTGCACACCTAGACTAAGAGGGAAAAAAATGTTATAGAAACCCATGATGACCCCTGCCTCCCCTGACTAGAGTACATAATTTATGGGCTCTAATACTTTTCAAGCCTTAAGTTGCCTACCCAGAACCTGTAAGATCACCATTGCCCTCCTGTCTGACAGAAAACTTACATTGGAAGCCCCAGTGGCCTTTGCACAGCCTTCCTAGTGGCGGGGACGTTGAGACTCTTGACCTCTGTTGCCCTGGAAGAGGATTTTCGGTGATTGAGCCATAGCATCCCCACCCCTGCCGGTGATTACCTTGGGTCCTGCTGCACCTTCATTGGAAGCGAAGTCGGGTGTGTAGACTCACTTAAGATGGCGGCTGCTTCGTGTCCCCTAGCTCTGCAACTCCACTTTGTGTCGAGGCTCGACAAAATATTTGAAGAATTCTGGACCAAATTGAACAGCAGACTTCAGAGCCCCGCGCTCAAAGGTATAACCACTGACCCACCACAGTGACCGCAGGGCACAACTAGACTATGGAGTGCCATGTCTTGAAGGCCTGGGGGCCCGAAGATGAGCTGAGGGCCTGTCCCGTCAACCCATGCTCTCCTTTCTCCCAGGCTGACCCGGAAACTCCGGAGCTGGCGCTATCATTGGCCCTACCATGTGAGAACCAGCGCACGCTACACAAAGATTCGTCCTAGGATCCACCATAGTGGGCTGGCACAAGCAGAGCCACAACACCTGGAGACAGTCAAAGGGCCTGCTTGATCGAGTTCAGGAGGTCTACAGGCCTCAGCTTTCCATGTGGGACTATGCATTCCCAATGCAGGGGGTTGGCTGACTACATCATGTGAGCACTTTTTGGGGCGCCAATTTATCATTCTGGGGGATGCTGTATCTCCAACACACCCTACATATTCATATGGAACCAATAGTTTTCCTTTATTTTGTTTCTCTTTTTTGTTCTACCTTTAACTATAACTCTACATGTCCAAATTACACAGATGTGCATCTTAGCTTACTTTTTGCTCCTTGTTTAGAAATGTTTAACTATGCTCTTAACTCTTGTAATGTCTCTTGCATATAAAATGTGTCAGAACCATATATGGGGCCTCAGTTTGCAATTAAGCTTAACCATGCATTTTGTTGTCTATTATTATAATTTTACTGTTAGTTAATATATTCACCTACAACTTGTTATTTCTTTGGGAGATATTGCCATGAGTTTAGACATACCTATCTAGCTTGCCTTCATAAAACTATAAAATTGTGCAGTACGATAAAACACCACACAAATGTTTCACAGTGTGTTACGATGCTCTTGCTATCGCTGTCGTGGCACTGCAAGCTCAACTGTATATCTATGCACAGAAAAATAAAGAATTAAAGGACCACTATAGTGCCCTGAGGGTGCCCCCACCCTCAGGGTCCCACTCCCGCCCGGCTCTGAAAAGGGGTAAAACTGGGCGGGGAGCTTTCCTCCTCCGATCCTCCTCCGTTCCTCCCCGTCGGCTGAATGCGCACGCGCGGCAGAAGCTGCGCGCGCATTCAGCCGGTCGCATAAGAAAGCATTATTAATGCTTTCCGATGGACGCTTGTGTGCTCTCACTGTGATTTTCACAGTGAGAATCACGCAAGCGCCTCTAGCGGCTGTCAGTGAGACAGCCGCTAGAGGCTTTGGGGGAAGGCTTAACCCATTCATAAACATAGCAGTTTTTCTGAAACTGCTATGTTTATAAAAGAATGGGTTAAGCCTAGCTGGACCTGGCACCCAGACCACTTCATTAAGCTGAAGTGGTCTGGGTGCCTAGAGTGGTCCTTTAAAAAAAAAATAATAATAAATAATAAGCTTATGGTCACACTGAAACTGCCTTCTCCTTCTTAAATCACATTGACTATGGAATGATGGTTAATATAATGTGTTGATTCTGAATATGGAATGCGTTCACCATTGCTTCCAGGAAATAGGAGATTGGTCAATTGTCCTGGATGACCATAAGTTTTTTATTCATATTTTTCATTTTGTATCATTACAGTTTAATAATCTGCCAAACAAGATGGGAAATTGATGCATGGGCAACTAGCATACATGGGGTGTAGATTGCAGCCTCACCCCATTCTTCTATGAATTCAAAAGCAGGAGGTGCTTTGGGATATTTGCTGGTAAAGTACTGGAGGAGTGAGGCAGCAGGTAGGATTTGTGTGGGGTCTTTGCTAGTTTAACAATGTGTGGATTTGTGGTTGGGCTGGTGGCCCTCAGTCTCAGGCCTGGTCTGAGCCACTGGATTATTTCCCAGGAGAATTCAGAATGTTGCCAGCATGTAACTATCTCCAGGGACACCTCCATCTATGATGTCTCCGGAGATGTTTACAAGTGGGTGCAGGGTGCGATGAGACTAGTTTGTGCAATGAGACTAGTTGCCATTGTTGGCAATGCTCTGTATTAGTAAGACCATCCACAAGAAATCTCTGAGTTTGTTTTTTTTCTCAGTTTTTTTTTTTTTTTTTACAGTTATTTACGTTTTGCTTTTCTTTTAAGGGCCATTCTTTTGATCTCGCAACTGAGGTCAACTGTTGCCAGCCTTCCCTAACATGTGCCCATGTTTTTTTTATAATTTTTCCACATTGTGCCAACTGAAGTTTTCCCTCATCTGACTATCCCCTCAACTTAAAAACTATTTTAGTTTATCCAGTAACCAGTCAATGGAGTTTAATTGAAAACATATTGCTAATTTTTAAAGGAACACTATAGGGTCAGGAACACAAACATGTATTCCTGACCCTATAGTGTTAAAGACATTATCTAGCCACCCTGCACCACCTCCCTTGCCCCCCAAAATATAATAAAAGCTTACCTTTATTATAGTCTACTCGTTCTGGCTCTGCCCCGATCCACCTCCTTGGCTGACATCATCAAAATTGATGATATGAGACAATCACAGTCAAGGAGGCGGGCCAGGGGCAAAGCCAAATTCTGCCCTGGCCAATCTGCATCTCCTCATAGAGATGCATTAAATAAATGCATCTCTACGAGGAAAGTTTAGTGCCTGCATGCACTGCCCCAGGAAGCACCTCTAGTAGCCATATGAGTGTAGGTGTTCCTAGGGGGCAATGTAAACACTGCATTTTCTCTGAATAAAACAGTGTTTACTGCAAAAATCCAGAAGCGAATGATTATACTCACCAGAACAAATACAATAAGCTGTAGTTGTTCTGGTGACTATAGTGTCCCTTTAACTAATTTAGCCAATTTGAATAATTTAGAGCTGAGCTGGATATTTTTTTTCCAGTTTATTATTTATTTATTTGTTACAAAAATATTGCAATTCAGTTTTCAGTTCATTAAAATCCACTGTTTAGTGAACACAAAGATACTTATTTCACTTCCTGTTGTTTGCTTGCTTTCCCTTGATCCTTTTGAATGATAACAGCATTTATCATCCCTGTAATAAATGCTAGTAAAGCATAACACTTCTGTTCTAGGAACAAACATCTGCCTCTGCCGAACACATCTGGAGATGTAGCCAGAAGATGCATTTTTAAAGGACCACTATAGGCACCCAGACCACTTCAGCTTAATGAGGTGGTCTGGGTGCCTGTTCCATCTAGGGTTAACCCTTTTTTTCTATAAACATAGCAGTTTCACGGAAACTGCTATGTTTATGTTAGGCTTAATCCAGCCTCTAATGGCTATCTCATTGACAGCCGCTAGAGGGCTTCCGCGTTTCTCACTGTGAAAATCACAGTGAGAAGATGCCAGCGTCCATAGGAAAGCATTGTGAATGCTTTCCTATGGACTGGCTGAATGCGCGCACGGCTCCTGTCGCGCATGCGCATTCAGCCAAAGAGGAAGAGAGGAGGAGGAGAGCTCCCCGCCCTGCGCTGGAAAAAGAGGTAAGTTTAACCCCTTCCTCTCTATCCAGCCCGGCAGGAGGGGGACCCTGAGGATGGGGGCACCCTCAGGGCACTATAGTGCCAGGAAAACGAGTATGTTTTCCTGGCACTATAGTGGTCCTTTAACTGAGATAATTTTATGATTTTATCTACTGGTGGGTTCGTACTGACCTATAAATACACCACACCAAACTTACCACACAGGAAAATGGAATGCTGAATTAACCCCAGGACATTGAATTAGTTTTGCCATTACATCCCCGTAGGATGAGGTGTAGGTGAATTTCAGTGTCATCTCATTACATGTTTGTATAATATCGTTCTTCATCATAGAGGAAATCATTTTGGAATGCAAAGAATATCATTCTGGAGATTTAATTGTATATGTATACTATCTCAAGTTTGAAGGTTTTTCACTAAAGCATGAAGTGTTTTTGAAATGAATTTCAAATTGAGGGACAAAATAAAAGAATGAGAAGCATTTTCTTCAAGTCTGCTTAGAAATCAGTTATTTTGGGGGGCAGGGTCTGCGGTCGGAGCAAGCTGGAAGTGTCCGGGTGAAGCTCTGCTAGGACCATGGTGCGAACTGCTTACAAAAGCTGAGATACTTCACAAAATTGTACCTACTTACAGGGGAACCACAATTGATAAACGGGCCCTGAGGAAACAAGCCAAAAGGCAGCCGGAACAGAGCGCTACGGTTACGGAATTGTTTGCAGCCTCTCGCGCCATGCGGCTGGGCTCCCAAGATGGTGGACTGGACAGCCTGGGGGTGCCACGCTCACCCTCTAGCCCGGAAAGCGGCACTACTCCTTGTACTCCAGAGACAGACACGAAGCAAATCCTAGCTAAGCTGGCTGAGGTGCGTACTTAACTGGCCATGGAGATCGGACGAGGTGAAGGTGTCAGATAAATCACCAGGTAGAACAACGTTCGTCTATGTGGCCTACTATAACAGGAGGTGGAAGGATCCTTAATCGAAGTGGTGACTGCCATTTTTAGGCCGCTTCTCCCTGACGTGTCGGATCACCTCTGGCATATTGAAAGCACCCACCGGGCACTCTGGGCAAGACAGGGAGATGACAGGAGGCCTCGGGATGTAAATATAAAATTCCTATCCTTTCAGACGAAAGAGGCTCTGATGAGGCAAGGCAGAGAAGGCCTGATCACGTACAAAGGAGCTGAGATGGCATTATACCAGGACTTAACTCCGACTACTTTTCAGAGACAATGGAAGTGGCGCCCTGCCACGGAGCTTCTTCAGCAGCATTCCATTACGAATGCTTGGGGCCATCCTTTTCGGCTGCTGGCTTTCAAAGATGGGCGCACCAAGGTCTTGCACTCCGATGGTGATCCGGTGGCTTTCCTGAGAGAGCTGGGGATTCAGGCACCAGAACGATTGGCGGTACCAACTACATCGGTGGAGAAATTGCGCTCCCTCCCACGCGAGTGGTACACAGCGGGTGAGTGAGGCTTGAGGGCGTTGACTCGCACACGGATACCGATGGTCATTGGAGGGCAGACACGGGTGGTAGTGTTTCCCAGGTGGGCCTACTGATTCTTTTTGGGTGAGAGGCTATTGGGGCTTTGTCCCGCCATGGAGTATGTTCTATCATATGGTTTATGGTCACTGGTTATTCCCATCGGGCCTATGGGAATTGTGTTCTCTTTTGGGGGGTGGGGGTGCCTATTGCTGGGGGTTTGGTGGTGCCTATTGCTGGGGGTGGTGGGAGATGGGACTGCTCTTATCGAGATCACTGTGCCCCCCACCCCCCTCCATTTTGGGCCTTTTAGGGGAATTGGAAAAATAGGCTTAACAGCCTTATGCCATCTATTTGAAAGCAGATCCTTTATTACATTTGAGGAATTGAAAACTAGGACCCCACTACGGCCTTCTGACTTTTTTTGCTACCTCCAACTTTGGGATTATGCCCTAAACTCTGTGATTAAAAAAGTTGCATTAACACAACTCACATTTTTTTAACTGATGTGCATCGGAGAGCACTTCCCAAAAGGCCTGATCACCAGCCTATATGCTCACCTAAGCACCAACACCTTAAAATAGGGTGAGCTTACATATATAGACCAATGGAAGGCGGATCTCAATGAGGTATTGGAGGGCATTGAGTGGAAATCTGGGAAGCTGCTGCAACATCCTCTATATGTGTCTCTTTGCAGGAACAAGCTTAAAGACAATGTTTAGGTGGTACACTACCCCGGCGAAACTTTGCAGAATGAATAAAATCCCAACGGACTTATGTTGGAGAGGGTGCGGTCAGAAGGGGACTTATATACACATGTGGTGGGACTGCCCGGAGGTACAAAAATATTGGAAACAGATCGCTGCATTGCTGCGGGATGTCTTCAACAGGGAGATTAAATTAGACCCCTGGGTGTTCCTCCTGGCCAGGTCTATGGATGACTGGTCAAAAATGGAACAGAATCTTATACAAAAGGTGATTTTGGCAGCCAGGAGGGCCTTAGCTCAGGTTTGGCTACAGAGGGAGACCACCCCACTTACAGCTTTCACAAAAAAAAATCAGAGACACACTACTTATGGACAAATTAACGCAGGTTTAGGGGCACTATGATGAAGTTTGAAAAGGTTTGGGGACCTTGGATAGACTGCCACATGGGGGATTAGGAGTCGGGTGCGGTGGGCTCATTCCCCCAAGGCACCGCTCTTCGTGCAAACAACTAGCGATAACTACTGAAATCGCCCTTTTCTCCCTTACGGGGGGACTTTAAGGATCCCCCCGGGGGATTTACATGGCATAGATCACCCCATAGAAAGATACTACTATGAACCTGAAGACACACTCTGCTGCCTGGACCCTCCCCTCCATTCCTTTTTTCTTCTCCCTTCTCTCTTCTTCTTTCTTTATTTTGTTTTTTATTAACTGTTTCTTCTCTATCTATCTCACAATCTTTCCTTTACCCTTCTCTGACTGTCAATAGAAATTCATCCCGTGCTTATGCTGGCACTTAACAACTATTGTGCCGTGATTTAGTATAGGTGAGGATCCTTGGTCTAGAAAGGTGGACTTGCAATATTAGTTCTTACGATGTAGGGTCGAGATTCTTGATACCTTGATCCTCAATGTGAGCTACAAAGACCTAAGCACTGAAACTGAGCATGCTCTTTCTTTGGTCGGTCAGTTTTCATATGTTTTATCTTAAATAAAAAACCCTAGTGGGACACAACTGTTATAAAGACTTACACAACTGATATGCAATGCTCTGCTGAATTTACTGAAGCGGATTACAACTTCGTTTATTCGTATATTTATGTTTTATACCATTGTGAATTTGTCACTGTTTTATTGTATGCCAGTATATTTTATTGCTTATGTTATTTTTATGGTGTCAGTTATTTTGGTCTAAATTTTGAAACTCACAAAAATGTGCACTTTAGCCCCATTTTTTTTTAGCATCCTCTGCAAGTGTTTGCTAAATATTTCAGCTACATCAACAAACTGATCTTGCAAATATTTCAGGTCATCTAATTTAAAAACTCCAAAAGTGTATTTTTTCTTTAGGGAGAAAATAAAGCTAATAATTTTAATAAAAATGCAATACGCTAATTTCTCCAACCATATGTTTATTCAGCTGAAATATTTTGTGTCCCAGTTTGTGGGATAGAACAAGAAATTATATTAAGACATCTTTTTAGATTTCTGTGGCGGAAAACCCACATCCTGTGGGGGAAAACCCACACCCCCTTATAGTAAAGGCATTTTACAGTATTTATTATCAATAATTGATGGAACTTTTAGTTAACATTGTGTCAAAAACATGAAGCTGCCTTGTATGCATGAAGAACAGGCAAATCTTGCGTTCCACACACCATCAATGGCGTTGTTGATGGTACGAGCAGTAGGACACACTTGGTATGAAGATACTGTACATGGCGCATTGACTTCTGCCCCTTCAGTGTTGATGGAGACTGTAAAGACTATGTCAACACTGAAGGGACTGGAAACATCGACTTAGGTTGATCCAAAAATCATCATTTAGTCCTTTTATTCCAGGTAAGACTTCACCAGAAGCCACATCAGCAGCACAGTGATTAACACAATCATGAAGTTGAGGAACAGCTCTTGTGTGGATCTCTCCATCTTATAGGATTGTCTCAGAAGAATGCCAAGAGACGATTTCAGCAGACACTCGTGGAATGTTCACCACAGCTCAGTGTGCTGGAAATAAAGCATAGGGATTATTTTATTATACACCAGAGCAAATCATTAGATAATAATTGGTAATCATAAAATTAATCAAGATTCTTAAAAAAATAAAATAAAAAGGCTGTACCAGTCATGTAAGCTAAGAAAAAATGATAAACGTATTTGGAACTTTGAGTTTAAAGGAAGTGAAAATCTGTTGGCGTTGGGTGGGGCTCCACCTCCTCTGATGTCAGCCAATGAGGGAACCTAATGCGCATTAGGCCTTCCCTACAGGAAAGTATTGAATTAATGCTTCCCTACGAATGTCCTCAAGCAAAGCGTGAGGAGAGGATGCCCAGTGTCACTTCATGAAGTCAAACTCAATGAAATTGCAGGAAGCACCTCCAGTGGCTGTATGGTAGACAGAGAGAGTTTTCTCTGAAACTGCAATGTTTGATGTTGCAGGGCTAACATTACAGGGACTCTACACCCAGTGGTATGGGTGACTATAGTATACCCTAAATAGAGACATGCTTCCAATAGGTGGAAAAATAATATAAAATCTAGCTTCAGAGACATATGACTGTCAATATTTTTACAAAAGCTGGAAGTACTTAAAGGATTACTATAGTGTCAGGAAAACAAACTTGTTTTCCTGGCACTATATAATCCTTAGGGGACCCTCACCCTTCAGCCACTTACCTTAATCCAGCGCCGGGCTCCCTCGGCCCTGGTGACCTCTCCTCCCCCGCCGACGTCATCTCCCGAGTGGAGCGGAATGCGCATGCGCGTCAAGAGCCGATTGCGCATTTTAACAGTCCATAGGAAAGCATTTCTCAATGCTTTCCTATGGACGTTCTGCAGGAGCACCTCTAGCGGCTGTCAGGAAGACAGCCATTAGAGGCTGGATTAACCCTGCAATGTAAACATAGCATTTCTCTGAAACTGGGTCTGGGTGACTATAGTGTCCCTTTAAGAGAAGCAATATATAAAAGAAAACAATAATTACAGAAAAACATTGCATATTTTTGTTACAGCTTAACTAATGGTGCAACATTTAGTTGAATTATGAATTGAATAGTTAGCTCATTAAAATGGGACGAGAAAGCAATTGAGAGATAATTTAAATATTTAGAATATGTGAAATGTACACTGTGTTTCCTTATCATTTTATATTCTGCCTTCAGAGAAATACATTTCTCTTGTGATATTTCAGACAGATAAATAAAACAACTCATATATCTTACTTATGGGTATTTGTATAGAATATAATATAATTTTCCAAAAATTATATTAAGATGTTAAATGAACGTCTTTATCCATACACAGTATGAACAATAACAATGAAAAAGCCAGGTATCTGTACAGTACAAAGAATTGCAGACTGTTTTTGCAGGCTCCGTAGAAGCTCTGTAGTGTGAATAGAGCTCTATCTGGCTGCAAAATGCTGGTAATGTTTTTTTTTGGCAATAGAGGGTCTTGTAACGTAAGGATGGAAGGGTCAATATTTCCAAAAACAGGAGGGGATGACTAAAATCTTAGCAAAAAATCATGTTTCTTTGCCAGGTGAAAAATTGCTTTGGGGACAGTTTGTAAACTGCCAAACTGACTGGTTGAACTATTTCAAAGTTCCAGGAAAAATATAGTAATTTTACTTAAAATTGGACAATATACCTCTCAAACCAATCTCCAGTCCAAAGCCTCTTGAGGAGAATGTAAAGGGCAAGATGTCAGATATGAATCGCCCTAACAGAACGCAATATATTATAAACTTACTTTCGCAGCCCACAAAGAAGTTAGTCCTCATACAGCAGCAAGCTCTATGCTCATCTGAGACCTTGATACTGTCAACAAGATACCTAAAGGAGGGTACCTGCATCAGAAGACCCTCAATAAGGATAAAGACAAAAAGGCCTATTCTGGTGAATATCAGGCAACTCTTTCAAGCAGACACTGCAATTGTAAAAGAAGAGATGTTTTGCTTGAAAGGCAGATTGCTGGAGGTAGATGACGTCAGATGAAAACTCATGCCACACTGGCTGAGCTAAAATCAACTACTTGTCAACACCATTAGCTAAACTACATACTATTGGAGAATAGCGGAAGGAGACAGAATGTGTAAATCAGAGGAATACCTGATGACATAGATTAGATGAGTTGCCAGGTTCAAATCCTGGCAGGGTTGACTCAGCCCTTCATCCTTCCAAGGTAGATAAAATGAGTACCATTCAATTGGATAATAGTAACAACCCCTTGTTGTTGGGCAAAGGTAACATCCCTAGGAGGTACTTGTAAACCAGAGTAATCTGAATGCACCTTTTCTGGTTAAATAGTTTGTTATTATTATTATTATTATTTTGCTACGAGTCTACTCTTTCATTTCTTCTCACCAATATCAGCCAAAATGTAGAAGGCTGATGGAGTCTTACAGTCATGGAAAGAAACAGCAGGATATTCCAGAGATGCAGTGATCCATTTTCTAAGCGGGCCAGTACAAATGGATTCTATACAGAAGTTAAAGGGACTCTCCAGTGCCAGGAAAACAATCCATTTTCCAGGCACTGCAGGTCCCCTCTCCCTCCCACCTCCCACGTCGCTTCTTCTTCCACCGCCATTCCTCCCCTTCATTACGTCAGCTGGTGCGGGATACTGATCCCGCCCGGCGGCTGGGGAGACCTAATACGCATGCGTGGCAATGCCATGCATGTGCATTAGACCTCTCCATAGGAAAGCATTGAAAATGCTTTTCAATGCTTTCCTATGGGGATTTTAGCAACACTGGAGGTCCTCACAAAGTGTGAGGACGTCCAGCGACACTATAGCACAGAAAACCTGTGCTATGGACCAGGAAGTGCCCTCTAGTGGCTGTCTAGTAGACAGCCACTAGGGGAGGACTTAGCCCCGCAAGGTAATTATTGCAGTTTATGAAAACTGCAATAATTACAGTTGCAGGGTTAAGGGTAGTGGGAGTTGACACCCAGACCACTCCAATGGGCAGAGGTGGTCTGGGTGCCTGGAGTGTCCCTTTAAGAATAAACTTTCCTATAAGGAAATATATTAATACACACATGGGAATACTCAATATACTACACTATATTGTATCTCTTTTTGTCTAGCATATAACTATAAGTGATTTTGTCACTTATAGCGCTCCATGATTGTCACTATTTGTGTGTAGCTAGGGAGATGCTAACTTTCTATATTGACTAAATAAGAAGTGCCTCTTACACAGAACACCTTAAACTTTAAGGAAATGAACCCTCTCTTTTTACGGGGCTCTCACAAGGGACATGCTACCATGGCGTCATACTATGAGGGACCTCACGGTACCTCAATGATCTGGCTCCATTCCCTATAGATGGAGTTATGCACACAGCAGAATAGTTACTATAGGGGACAGTACCTACCAGATACCAGACCGCACAGTAAGGTATAGTAAGGATAGAGTTGTAGTGATTCTCAAAACTACTTTTATGCATAACGCAATTTACTTAACCTTAAATTGTGCAGTTCTCATGTGGTTTTGATATTGATCTTATATTATTCTGAAGAGTGCAGTTTTGAAGTGCTTTTTACATTATCAATGTCTATAATTTGCTTTAGGGGACACTATAGGCACTCAGACCACTTCATTGCAATGAAGTGATCTAAGTGCCATGTCCCCCATTTTAACCCTGCAAGCAAAAACATATTCATTCTGTAAAATAGCAGTGTTTTCATTACAGGATTTAAATCCCTCAATTGGCTGTCACTCTGACAGCCACTAGAAGTGCTTCCGAATGGAGAGCAGAGTAAAAGTCTGCTATGTCAGTCAGATGGTCTAAGAGACCAGAGGCCGCGCATGCACACTAGCCTCCCTTTGCTTTTCTGTAGAAAACATTGGATTGGTTAAAATGATCAATCTCAATAATATCAGCCAAGGGGGTGGGATGGCAGCACAGAGACCAGCGCTGTGAGGTAGAAAACGTAAAATCACCATTTTTTACTCCCTACAGGTGGCTGCCAGTCACCTAGAGCATTAGGAATATACATTTATATTCCTAACACTATCATGTTCCTTTTAATCTGCACAATTAAAACGGATTGACCAAGACAACCCCTGCTTGGAAGCTTAGTGAAACACTAGTGGGCATAAGATGCTAACTGTAATATTGCATTGCTTTGCAGCAACATTTAATCTGTCTGTGCACAACATTTAGATGGAAACATTAATGTTTTCTAAACCAAAAATACAAGGCAGTGTTTTCTTTTAAATTTGTTTGGAGTGGCTACCAACTTTCCAACCACATCTAATCTAAGTGTGACAACTCCCTGCTCCTATATCCCAGCGTTTTGTGTAAAATATCAATACTTAATATAAACACTCAATGTAACATTTCAGTTTGGGCATATCAGAAGAAAAATCATCGCAGTTAACAATGGCATATACACATAATATACATCCGTGCATCTAATTACATTGTATGAATGTCACGCAGCTTAACAAATTAGCACCATATCCTTAGCTTGTCCTTAATAAATCTCTTACGAAAACAAATATTCTGACTTCTGACTCCTTTGAGCAGTGACAGCCATATATTTCGTATTCATGTAGCACGTTATTGTCAGTAAATATCAGTAGCCGTGCGTAAATATGGCGAGAATTTCCTTAGCAAATGCTTGTTCTTTGGCGCTGGGCAGATGACCCACTGCAACAATAGTATTATATTTAATGGATAGATGTTAGTATTATTTAGTTACAGAGATAATGACTGTATCATCTATTTTGGGATCCTCTGAAGGGCAGAGTGGAAAGACTTAGCAACTTGCAGTGATGATATGAGGAGGGGCAGGATGGTGGAAGCCCGATGATGGCATGAGGAGGGTGAGGGGAAATTCTTCTAGAACAGCGCGCAACTGTCATAGACAGACAGGAACCTAAGGTTTTAGCTGAGAAATGTGTTGAAAGACATTTACAGTCTGTGCGACACCTTAAGGAGTCTGTGAAACAGATATTAGAATGTACAGCAAAGAGTTTACAAAGTGTTCTATAAATATTTGCAGCCACTCAATTGTATATTAAAAGGAGGATCTTTATTTACAAAACTACCTTTTTTCAATAAAAAAAAATTTTTTGCCAGAGAGTTTATTTCTTCTCATTGAGAATTATTTAATAGTCACTGGGGTAGCATTTTTTTAAATTATTTATTTATTATAATGCAAGTAGGATTATAACGCTATTTTTATAAGTTATTGCTCAGTCCCTTAGAAATGGTTAGTAATGAAAATTCGTTCAAAATCATCTTCATATTTTACATATATTTGAGACAGTCATCCTCAAATAACTGTAGAGGTGAGTTCACTCCACGATGACTTTGCAATCAAAATTCATCTTTTACACTATACTTGTGCACAGATGCATTTCGAACAAATCGTATTCCTTTTAATCAAATAAAACGGGTAAATTCTGGATGGATCAATTCATTCGGACATAGATTAAAAGAAATTTGATATGTTCGTACTACCTGAAACACATTTAGACCAAAATGACAGCACTTGCAATATTCTCAGGCTTAGCAAGCTTTTAAAAATATTACGTTTTTCTGACTTGGCTAAATTGGAATATGTTTTTACTTGAAATTGTCATTTAATGAAAAAAATCTAAGTGAAAATAATGTGAATTACTTACAAGAATATGTGTAAAGATTGAATTTAGAATATTTTTGTTTTTAAGTATTTTAGGTTTAAAATATTTTAAAGAAATGCAATAGAAATCTCTGCTGAAGGTACGTATGCAACAAGTTAATTAAAGGGACACTCCACTGCCAAAATAAACATAGATAAAAGTCACTGATTTATACATATACCCAAATGAAAACATGCATGCATTTAATGTTGTATTTGTTTTCATTGGCGGTATATATAAAAACTGCAGACCTCTTGTCTGCTGCCTTTGAAAACCCTCCTGTTCTTTCCCAGCCCAGATTTTATGTGGCTCTCCAATCATAGACTTCACAATGCAGTCCAATGAGAAGTCTTTGCAAGGCAGGTGCTCTGGGCAGTGACTGCCTCTTTTGTTTAGCTCCACTGAGCTAACAGAACCACAATGTTACAAGACCTGTTGTCTGCTTGTAAGCCAAGTGGGTGTTACCATGTTGATGTATAAAAGTGAAATCTGCACTGTTTGCAAAATTAAAAAATAGGACACTCTTCACACTTAATGCTTTTCAGCAAGCTCAAGTGCTTAATAAGTCTGGAGTGTCCCTTTAATGCTCAAAGGCTCTAAATGCCACTGATAGAGATGTCGCGAACCGTCCGCGAACTTCTCGCGAACAGTTCGCCACGGTTCGCCACGAGCTGTTCGTGGCGAACTCCGGTCAGCTGACACATCCCGGCCAATCTCCAGCAGACCCTCCCTCCCAGACCCTCCTACTTCCTGGACAGCATCCATGTTTCGCGACATCATAAAAATATCAGAAAAGCTAGCATCTGTAAAAATGTCTAAATCAATGTCTGGACTTCCTATTGTACTCCTGCTTAAGTCTCATTTGACACATTTTTTTAATGAAAAAAAATAATTAAATGGCATCTAATTGAAAAAATAGTAAAATTACCTATGGAATTGTAGATGTTTGTCAATCAACCAATAAATCAGTCAATCAATTACCCTGTTTTATAAAAAAAAAAATTTCAAGTTTAACAGCTGTGAGTTTGATCGAGTTATTTGTACACATACGTCATCAATTGGAAATAATTACAGCATGAAAAAGGAAATTCTCTGAACAAACTGTGTAACATATAATATATATTTAACAGAGCTTAAACCTGATCACAACAATCACTGGCAACTCAGTAAATAATAATTTTATTTAAAAAAGCGCATTTAGTAGATTTGTAGTTATGATAGCCATTATTTAAACTTAAGGAAGGGATAACATTTATGATATATTGTTCATTTTGGAAAAGAACCAATGCTTAATTTATTATAGAAAAAAAAAGGCAAGATAATATATTTAGCAAAAAAACATTGTGTTTTGCCCACCCATGTTTATTTGCTCATTAGAAATTATTATTTAATAGGAATCTGGTCATGAAAAATTTGACTTTAAGGCTATTATGCCAACATATTTTTTTGGAATAATAGTTTTAATAAAAAAAAAAAAAAGCCTTCAAACATACAACACACCACACAACACAAAAATCACATACATTTTAGGTTGCATTCCATTCGGAGCTCTGAGAAATACAATCTCATCTAGATCATGCAGCTACAATTATGCTATATTTTTATGATAACATTTCCAAGCATAAATCGATAAAAAAAATATTCTAGACGTGAATGATATTAGCATTTCGGGTTATTACCTGAACTAATTTCACAGGATTCTTTATTGCTTTAAGTTTATCAATCCTCTCCCAGGCTGGACTCGCCTCACCTTCTTGAGTAATATGATTCGCAACTGTCAGTGTTGGAACTAATGTAGCAAGAAGGAGGAGGGTAATATATGAAATGCCTGGGAATCTGATGAGGTCACGAACCAACTATATATATATATATGTATGGTAAGAAGTGTATCTTGATAGGAGGAATGATTTGAAACAAAGTTTATATTTGATTTACTTTACCTAATGATTATACTTAATACTACAAATATTTGGTATGTGCCAGTATAAGTACTCATTCATACTCAGAGAAATACTCTATTTTTTGCCTTCTCTACCACTGCCTGTAAAAATTATGAAATATCTTGTTAAGTCATTGTCAGTATCCTTATAAATACACAGCTATTACTAAGCCAACCCAAAGGCGTTACTCCTGGTAGCGTGGAGCCTTTATTATTTGGACACATCATAAGCACACTGTCCTTGAGATGGCCAATAATCAGAATATGTGACCTTTTTTTTTTTTTTAAATGTCCCCTGTGCTTACAACTGTCAGGATTTGTTCGAGCAGTTTAAGGATTGTGGTTAGGATTTAATAGGTAACACGATAGGCCTCCATTATCAATATGTAAATATTCAGAGGGCTCAGGAAGCCTAGCGTGATATATTTATTTTTAATTAGGTGTTGAATGCATCTGAACAATTTAAAATGAAATGGAAAGCATTTGGTAAAGGAAAAAGGCACCTACATAATTAAGAGAAAGACCAACACTCAGTGAGTGAGTTATGACAACGGTGGATCAGCGTCGCAATATAACATATCACTTTTTTTTTTCATCATGTAAAAATATATTTCCTAGTAGGAAAGATAAAATAAAATAAGAAATGCATAGCAAAATGTTGCAAAATAAATGACATTAAATGAGTGCTTTTATCAACGTACAAAATAATGTGTTGGGTAGCCCGGCTAAATCATATAGGACACAGTCGACATAGAATACAGGTAAGATTACCAGGAAAACCAGCAGTATAGTTATATAATTTTATTTAAATTTTTTTAAATAATCTATGAGATACATTTAAAAATAGTCTGCTCTTCACTTTGGAATGTCCTTTATAAAAACCTGTGATCACTGACTTACATTCCACTCCTTCCTACAGTCAGACCACTGTACACCCTATATCCTATCTACAGTACACTACAAAAAACTACACTCACCATCAACACTCTCTCCATTGAGACAATCATACCAATACTCAGAAGTTCTGTAGTCACATTCCTTCCACAACCACACACCGCTTTCCTATTATCCTTAAAATATTTTTTTTTTCTGTTTATAGTCTTCGTGCACAGTCAAACCCTGACTACAGTCGTACAGTCCGCAGCATGACTCCACAGCCTTACATCAATCTCATTAGTTCCCTGACACTTGCACTACCAAAGGTCTGTGTAAATAGAAACTACACACAGTTGTTCCGTCATATGTACCACCAAAGATAAGAGAAGAGAGGTACATTGTGAGCAGTACCTACGGGACTGGAGGCTGCCGCTCAACAGTCACTGCTAGATACATATCACATCCAGCTACTGCAGAAATAACCTTAAAAGTATTATTTCCCAGTTATGCAGACTTTAAAATAGTGACTCATTTTATTAACATGACCTATATACATACTTAGTGATGTTTCAAACAGAAGGGACAGACAGACAGGCAGCTAATATATATAATTAAAGGGACACTCCATTGGCCAAATAAAGAAGAAAATAATACTTTTAGTAGATATAACCTTTGAAATTTTTTTGCATTTAATTACACATTTTTGTCATTGGGGATTTATCTAAAAACAGCTTACAAAAGCAGCAGATCTCTATTCTGCAGCCTTGGCAAGCCCTCCCCTTCGAACCCCGCCCAGACTTTCTGTGGCTGTCTAATCACAGACTTCCTGGTATAGCTCAATGAGAAGATTTTGCATGACATGTATTCTGGGCAATTATTGCCTCTTGAGTTTTGCTCCAGTGAGCTAATCAACCAGGAACAGGGGCAGTTGTCTCACAGCCACTCATGTCCAGGGGGCTAAGAGCAATTTATAAAAGTGAAAATTTCTATACACTTTTAAAAAAAATGAAATAAAGGGGACATGCTCTTTACACAAAAAGCACTTCAGCAAGTTGAAGTGATTTAGACTTCTGAAGTGTCCATTTGATTGATGAGCAGTTTAGCAGATAACTCATTGAATTGGTACTTTGTAACTAATGTAACAGCCCTGAAGAAGAAAGAATGAAAGTGGGTTTTGCATTTCACAGCAGTTGAACTGACAGAACAGACCATCTGACGATTTACCAGCTGTGAAACAATTCTTTTATAAACAATATAAAATGAAATATAAAAGTTAATATGAATTCCTCTCAATTAACATTTGACACTTTAAAGAATAACTCTGAGAATGATTAATTTACCAGAGTTAATACATTCTCCCAATATAAACATAGGAAATAATACACTGTTGAGCTGGGAATATACACTGCTCAAAAAAATAAAGGGAACACAAAAATAACACATAATCTGAATGAATTAAATATTCTTCTGAAATACTTTGTTCTTTACATAGTTGAATGTGTTGACAACAAAATTACACAAAAATAAAAAAAATGGAAATCAAATGTTTCAACCCATGGAGGTCTGGATTTGGAGCCACACTCAAAATTAAAGTGGAAAAACACACTGCAGGCTGATCTAACTTTGATGTAATGTCCTTAAAACAAGTCAAAATGAGTATCAGTAGTGTGTGTGGCCCCAACATGCCTGTATGACCTCCCTACAACGCCTGTGCATGCTCCTGATGAGGTGGCGGATGGTCTCCTGAGGGATCTCCTCCCAGACCTGGACTAAAGCATCTGCCAACTCCTGGACAGTCTGTGGTGCAACGTGACGTTTGTGGATGGAGCGAGACATGATGTCCCAGATATGCTCAATTAGATTCAGGTCTGGGGAACGGATGGACCAGTCCATAGCATCAATACCTTCGTCTTGCAGGAACTGCTGACACACTCCAGCCACATTAGGTCTAGCATTGTCTTGCATTAGGAGGAACCCAGGGCCAACCGCACCAGCATATGGCCTCACAAGGGGTCTGAGGATCTCATCTCGGTACCTAATGGCAGTCAGGATGGCGAGCACATGGAGGGCTGTGCGGCCCCCCAAAGAAATGCCACCCTACACCGTTACTGACCCACTGCCAAACCGGTCATGCTGGAGGATGTTGCAGGCAGCAGAACGTTCCCCACGGCGTCTCCAGACTCTGTCACATGTGAACCTGCTTTCATCTGTACAGGTTGGATTTTTATACAACTTTTCAGGCCAGAGGAACTGGACCTGATGGGGTACAGGACACAAATTGTACAGACCAATAGAAACAATGTAACAATGCCTGACACTCCCACATACAGCACACAATCCCTCCCCTCTGCCTGTGATACAATTAATGTAGATAATGTATTAACGTAATTATCCCCAAGCATAAAAAACATATTTTACAATAACCCAAAATTACCCCAAAACACAATATATCCCCAATCTTACATCCCCTGATAGCCATGATCTGGGTGAACAACATATCCAAAAATCACCCAGATCAAAACAGGGGTTCAGGATATTTAGGTGGCATACTATCGGAAAGTATATCTATCGCACAACGTAAGGATGAATTGAAGGTAACAGACTCTTTCTTTTCAAATACTTCCCATAAATCTTGCATACTACAGAGGAAGGGAAGTGGACAATGGAGCAGCTGCAGGTACATTTATAGTGTTAACAGGATGTACTGTTTCTCATGACAGCCTTTATCTCATGACATGATCTCTGATTTTTCCCAATCGATAACAGGGTTATTTTTAACCAACTAAGGGAAGCCCATGATGATAGGACAAGAGGGAGAAGAACTTATTTGAATTCAATGTATGTTAGACAAGTGCAATTCTTATGTCTGATGTGTGATTTGTTGATCAGATAATGGTCTATCACTGATGGCCTCAACAACCAAGGATGTTGACGTTTGGATAGAAGGTAAAGCAAAATAACTATCAACATCATGATCGACAAAGTTTTTTTTTCCTGCCCCTGAATCAGTTAAGGCATTGACATGTATTAAGACTGGTAGAATGAGTAGAAGTGCTGAAAAAGTAGGGAACCATGTCATTACACCCAGGGCTGGCCCCCGGTTTGGTCCTGTTTCAGGAGGTTTCCGGTCAGCAAGGACCATCCTTTCTTAAATGTCCCTTTTGTCCACACTAAGCCTTCTTTTCTCCATTATGTTTTTTTCAACCTGTGTCAATATAATCTGACCTAGTTGCATTGGTTCAGGGGGAACTAAAGCATGGAGTTTAGTGGAAGGCAAACGTAATACAGGACGATTGTACAACCTACGTTTTCTCTCCCTTTGCGTACGTCTTTCTATTAGGCGATTGTCTATATGAATACAGTAATCGATCAAATCACATAGATCAGTGGGTAAGTCCTTGGTGGCTAGTATATAGTCTGCTAAACCCTTTTTTTTTAAAAAGCATTGACCAGAGAAATGTTATCTAGACCACCTGTGAAGCTAAAGTACTGAATTCAATTGCGTAGTCAGAAACAGAAAGTGACCCCTGCTTAATTCTCATTAAGGCCTTGCCTGCATAACTTACACGACCTGACATATCAAAGGTCCTACAAAATGAAGCAAGAAATTCAGGATAGCTATACACCATAGAGGTATTCGACTCACATATAGGATTTGCCCAAACCAGCGCTCTTTCTGTAAGATGGTTCATTAGAAAAGCCACCTTAGACCTGTCAATAGGAAGATGGGTTCACTTCCAAATGTATATCAATTTGGTTTAGTAACCCAAGAAATAACATAGAATCCCTGTTATAATGCTGTGGGGGTGTCATGGGAACAGGAGGAGGGCAGTTTCCTGTAACAGGTGCAGGAGTGACTGGTGAGGCTGCTATAGCAGTAGCTTGAGCCCCTGGATTTAGAGAAGCTATACATATCAGAATGGTTTGCAAGGCCTGTGCAAATTGATCCATAAGGCTTTCAAAGTCATCCATCCTTGCAGCACACATTGCTATTTGTTGTACTATATCTGCAGGTTCCATGAGGTCCTGTTGTAATGCCAGGCTCGGCAGGGATCTTAAACGTGCAAACAATGACACAATAACTGGTCAATCCATATACTGGTCCTTAGAGTTGCCAGGCTAATGGTAAAGGAAATAGAGAGAATGCTGAGGCCAAGGACAGGACAGATACAGATAAATGTTATAACAAGCCAAAGTCAAAGAATACCAGAGATCAGAAGAATTGAGTAAATGAACAATATCAGAAACCAGGAACAGAAGATACAAGGAACGCACTCTTGGGCTAAAAGAACCACAACAGGGCAACAAAGAGTGTGAGAGGTAAGTATATGTAGATATAGCTTAATGTCTATTGGTCCACGTCATAAGTGAATTCCTTATGATTCATGGACAGTAGAAATTCTTATTAGCATATTTGTAACATAATTTTTGTGCACCAAATTTGTTCCAAATTCGCCATTATGCCCATATTCGGTTGTACAAATTCGCCATTCGGACCAAATTCAGCATCACAGAAAACTCCATTGGTGCACGAGCGTTCAGCATCACAGAGAATGCCGGGGGTCCGAAGGAAAAGATGAAGGACCACTAAAGTGCCAGGAAAACAAACTCGTTTTCCTGGCACTTTAGGGTCATTAGGTCCCCCCTACCCTCATAACCCCCCGCCCGCTGGGCTGAAGGGGTGAAAACCTTTCTCCAGTGCCGGGCTCCCTCGGCGCTGGGGAACTCTCCTCCCTCTACCGATGTCAGCGCCGAATGTGCGTGCGCGGCAAGAGCTGTGCGCGCCTTCAAACCGCCCATAGGAAAGCATTACTCATTGCTTTCCTATGCATGTCAGCGTCTTCTCACTTTGATTTTCACAGTGAGTATCGCAGAAGCAGCCTCTAGTGGCTTCCAGGGAGACAGCCACTAAAGGCTGGTTTAACCCCACAGTGTAAACATAGCAGTATCTCTGAAACTGCTATGTTTTCAGCTGCAGGGTTAAAACTAGAGGCACCTAGCACCCAGACCACTTCATTGAGCTGAAGTGGTCTGGGTGCCTATAATGGTCCTTTAAGCAATCCTGACACATTTATATTCTGGTAATGATTACCAGCCTGTAGAAGAACACTTTTGTCAGAAGCCACTATGTAACCACTGTAAATTGACCTCTGCTTACAGTAAGTGTCACTGTGTCATATCATTCCTACAGGGAGAGAGAGGGGAAGAGTGAAAGGACTCTATGATTTCACTGTCAGCATTACATAAGCATTCCAGAGATTGATAAAGATTGCTATAGCAATCTTAAATACCTTTATTTTTAGAAATATATATTTTAACCACTGTACTATTTACTGCTGTGCCGCTGTACTTATTTATGGTATTTAGGCATTATACTCAAATGTAGACATTCTTTTTACATTCTGTTGCCATTTTTAGTAAACTGTGCTGCTAGTGATTAGTGATGTCGCGAACCGTTCGCGAACTTGCCGCGAATGGTTCGCCACGAACCGTTCGCGGCGAACTCCGGTCAGCTGACACATCCCTGCCAATCTCCGGCAGACCCTCCCTCCCAGACCCTCCCATCTCCTGGACAGCATCCATGTTGAAGCTGCCTTCAACATGGATGCTGTCCAGGAAGTAGGAGGGTCTGGGAGGGAGGGTCTGCCAGAGATTGGCAGGGATGTGTCAGCTGACCGGAGTTCGCCGCGAACGGTTCGTGACATCACTACTAGTGATGCTGTGAAGGTCTTTACAAATGCCTATCAGGAATGTATTAATGGCATATAATCGGTGTCTGTAATAATATTAATCGTAGCAGCAGTAGTATTAAAAAATGGGGCTGGCCATTTGCGCAGCTGGGATGTAATCCGCACCTGAATAAAGATTACGCAATAAACCTGTTCATAAACAAAAAATGAGGTTACTATCAAACATACAACAGTATCCAAGAACAAATATTACATTGACTAGAAATGCATATTTATAGTCTTTAATATTTAAAGTCTTTGCAACGCACTATAACTGAAATGCCATGCTTTGCCTACCAGCAACCTACTGAGGAAGCTACATTTTGTTTACATTCGCCCCAAAGCAGCTTCCCAGAATCCTTCTGTGTAACACAACCATAAGTAAAGGATGCTTTATGAAATGCTCATTTTGATTGTGTTGGAAATTAACTAAAATTCCAACCCAGTCAAGAGATATGCTGAGACAAAATAGGGACTACTTTGTCTCTGCAAATTTCTGCAGCCTGACACTTTTAGACACTGGCCGTCTAGACGTGTCAATCCCCCCAGCTGTAATCAGCAGCTACAGGGAATTGGCTCCATCTATGGTGGATCCTGTGATATCACAGGATCTTCCATAGACCTCAATGCTGGACTCTTGGGGATGCATGAGTGTCACATCATGCCATGTTCTGCGGAGATGTCTGGCTTTGGTTTCTGGTTTCCAGTACTCTTTTTACAATTCTTGTTTAGTTTTTCTTGTTTTTTTGGTTTTCTATTCTATGTCTGGTTTTCTTTATGCTGGGTTTTTCTGGGTTCATTCCTGTAATCCATCCCTGGAATTCCCAGTGTCCAGGTTTCCTTTAAATGTTTGTTTTATCTCTGCCCTTTCTTGCAGGTAAGTGCTATTGTGGTTTAGTATGGTTCTTTTAGCGAACATTAGGCAGTGTAGGACCTGCCGAATATGGGGTACATTGGTGTTGTGGCAGGCTTATGCAATGTATGATCATATAATATAACTAAATCCTCATACTTTTCATATATAGTGCTTAGTTATGTCTCCTCTTGTTTTGACTATTATATCTTGTCTTGTTTTATTTTGTAATCCCAGTTCATGTACAGTGCTGTCCTGCCCTGTTCTTGTTTTCCTCGTGTCTTGTGTACATGTTCTGGGTTCTGCTTTCTGTCCTCCTCTGGTTATATTAGTTCTGTCTTTCATGTTTGGTGACTATCCTAGCCTTGCTTTGATTCTGTACTGGATACATGTCTGCTGCAGAGCCCCCCTATCCAGTTCCTGGGAGGTCTGCATTTCAAGCTCTTAGTTCCTGGGATCCGCTGTAGCTGCATCAGGGTTTTGGTATGTGGCTGCACAAACGCTGGTGCTCAACACCCGGGGGCATGTGGTTACCCAGCACCAGACCCTGACCTATCCACTCTCAAGCTAAAGACTCCCACTTATCATCAGGCATACTGGGTCCCGGTCCTCGCACCGCCGCCCGGACACTGGACACTGGACCGCCACCCTGACAACGAGACAACAGCAGTGACTTTGGCTCCTGGTGCTAAAGAGCCATGAGCTGAAGAGGACCCACGATGGACAGGTTCTGGTAAGTAGAACTCACCTTTACCTTCTTCCTGGCCGAACTCTCAGCAGCAATTTCACTTCACTGTTAGGGGTCTATGCGAATTCTCCAAAGTCGCCAAATGGTGACAGTGCGGCTTTAAACTTCTTCCATTGCCATGAAAACAGCACAAGCAATTTAAACTATTTGATGGTTTTATCAAAATTACTCCTAAACCCACAGGGGAGCAAGAGAATATGGCTGTTGCCATTTTGGTTATCATGGCATTCAGTTTGCTACTACATGCAGGGCCGGCGCTAAATGTAAGGCGGACTAGGCAGCCGCCTAGGGCGCCCCTTGGGAAGGGGCGCCGCCAGGAGCGCCGCCCCCCCCATGCTGCAGCCGCCCGAGCGCTCTGTAGAGCGCCTCAGGCGGCTGCAGCTTTGCCCGGGCTTGTGCGTCCATGAGGAGAGGAGAGGGGCTGACAGGAGGGAAAGCGCTCAGCGCTCCCTCCTGTCACTCCCTCACTGTAGCGTGGCAGAGCCCTGTATGATCTGCGGGTACAGGGAGCATCTGTCTCCTGTACCCGGACGGACTAACAGGAAGTGAACACTGAGTGTTCACTTCCTTTTAGTCCGCCGGGTACAGAAACAAAGCTCCCTGTACCCGCGGCATACAGGCTCGGCCAGCTACAATGAGGTAGGGGGGGTGGGGGGAATAAATGGGGGGGGGGGGGGGTTGGGGGGTTGGGGGGGGGGGGGTTGGGGGGGGGGGGTTGGGGGTGGGGGGGGGTGGGGGGGTGGGGGGGGGGGGGTTGGGGGGGGTTGGGGGGGGGTTGGGGGGGGGGGGGTGGGTTGGGGGGTGGGGGGGGGGTGGGGTTGGGGGGGGGAATAAATGGACAGGGGGGGGATAAATGGACAGGCAGGGTGGGGGAATAAATGGACAGGCAGGGTGGGGGGAATAAATTGAAAGGGGGGAAAATAAATTGACAAGGTGGGGGGGAAGAAATTGACAGGGAGGGGAATTGACGGGGTTAGGAGGGGGAATGAGAGTGGGGAGGGGAGAAGAGAGTTACAACGGGGGAGACGAGAGTGACAAGGGAGGGGGGAGAAGAGAGGGACATGCAAGGGAGAAGAGAGTGACAAGGGAGGGGGGAGAAGAGAGGGACAAGAGGGGGGAGAAGAGAGGGACAAGGGGGGGAGAAGAGAGAGACAAGGGGGGGAGAGAAGAGAGTGACGAGGGAGGGAGAGGGGGAGAAGAGAGTGACAAGGGAGGGGGGAGAGATTGACATCCATCACACACACACAATGCACCCCTTGCACACAGAAAAACACACAATGCATTACACACACAGACACACACACACACAAGCAATTCAACCCTTACACACAATGCATCCCTTACACACACAGAAACACACAATGCATTCCTTACACACACTCAATGCACCCCTTACACACACTCAATGCACCCCTTACAGATGCACACACTGCATCCCGTACATACATAGAAACACACATTGCAGCCCTTACACATACAAACACAGATTCACACAATGCATTCCTTACACACATATCAGGACATCCCCTACTCCTGTGAACAAACTAATTGGTGGAACATGAAGGTGGACCCTGGGGCCCAGACCTTGAGCTGTGTAAAGGGCCTTAAAAAAATGGAGCTGCTTCCCGTTTCTCCCAGAACACAAACAGCCTCCAGAGAGCCTGTTCTACACCAGACGAGTGGAGCCAGACTGCAGCTAGAGCCCATCACCATCCTCATCTGGTTGTAAGTAGGCAATCTAGTATATTATTCGTGGCACTAATCTCTAATTTACCTCACATTAAAGAAACACTATAGTCCCAGAACCACTGCAGCTTAATGTAGTGGTTCTGGTGTCTATAGCCTGTCCTTGCAGGCCTTTTAATGTAAACACGGCGGCACTGCAGCACTTGCGTTAGTTAACATGGGGCATTGTGATGTCATATGGGGGGGCGGCAAACTTTACTTTTGCCTAGGGCGGCAAAAATCCTTGCAACGGCCCTGACTACATGGCATTTCAGTGCCAGGCAACAAGCGACAGCATAGACTAACCAGTCGGCAACTAGACCATCGAGGTCTTTGTGCGGTTATTTGAGTAGGAGAATGGTTATAGATGGGATTGTGAAAATGTCAGCAGTCTTGTGTTGTTATTGTCAGTAAAACAGTAAAACAGCAGGAAAATGTTGGAGTAAAAAATATAAAAGCATGTTGCTTTTTCTCTTTTCACAGCTTGTATAAAGTACCATCACTAAACACATTAGCTGATGGGCACCTGTTGCTGTCATCAGTTCTTATTATAGACCAACAGATTATCCAGTTTCTCAGTGTAATTTAAGAGAGAGCATACAACAAGTTTACTGTAGGGATTATTTGTTTAATATCTGCATTGCTATAGAACCTTACAAAAATTACAAGACTCGCCTCGAGTCTGTCATCTGTGACACAAAAATGTAACAGTATGCGCTCAATTTTCACTTATACTCATTGTGAGATAATATTTACCACACAAAGGGTGTACAGAGATGCTGTCAGCTTGTTTTACTACAAAATCTGCCTGACAAGATGGCAATGTTATCTTAACTTCTGACCTGTTCAGACGGTGGAATTGTAGATTTGACCTTTCTGCGGTGGAGGTCTAAATAATGTTTATTTTGCGAGACCCATTTAACAGACAGACTTTATTTCCATAAATAAGCTGAGAAATAAACAATGTACCAATCATTGTACCAAAGCAGATCCAATATGTTATATAGCAGTGTAGAATAGAGGTTGTGTTTTATACAAACAAAAGCATATTAATAATAATAAACATAACCATTAAGATGGAGAGAAAGATCAAATAATATCCAAATGCAGAGGCGTCACTAGAAACCATGGGGCGGGCCCCGGTGTGAACATTTCCCTGGCCTCCCACATATGTCTCCCCCCCCAGCCCCTTAGCCCCTCCATGTGTCTCATTCACTCCCCACAGGGCTAGTGTGGCATGGTTGGGGGGGTTGAGTATGACAGAATTGGAGTGGTTAATAAGATAGGGTGAGTGTGGCAGGATGAAAGGGGGCGAGTATGGCAGGGTGAAAGGGGGTGAGAGTGACAGAGGGACGGAGAAAGAGTGTGGCAGGATTGGGGGGGTGAGTGTGACAGTGCGAGAGAAGGTGAGTGTAATAGGGTGAATATGGCAGAGCAATGGGTGGTGAGTATGGCATGGGTGAGTGACAGGATTGGTGGAGTTTTTTGTGAGTGCGGCAGGGTGAAGGGGGGTGACAGTGTGTGTGTAGTGGGGTGACAGTTACACAGACACACCCATGCATACACAGACACACATGCAGATATACAAACACACACTGACATACATGCAGATACACACCATATAACACACAGTGCCATTTTAACAGCAATATAGGCCCCCGGGCAAAGCGGTGCACTACACAACCACTCACAGAAATAAAAATCTAAATTATCGATAAAATTAAGCTTATATTTATTGGTACATCTAACAAATGCAATGCATACATACACACACACACATTTCTGAATATACACAGACTGCTGAATACACACAGACTACTGAATACAGACACACTGCTGAGTACACACACTGACTGCTAAATACACACAGACTGCAGTAAGGGGTGCAGTGTGTGTGTGTGTGTGTGTGAGGGTTGCAGCGTGTGTGTGATGGGTGCAGCATGTGTGTGAGGGGTGCAGCGTGTGATGGGATGCAGTGTGTATGTGTGTGTGTGTGTGTGTGTGAGTGGATGCAGTGTCTGAGGAGGTGTACCATGTGTGTGTGAGGGACTGCAGCATGTGAGGGGGGTGTAGTGTGTGTGTTTGAGGGGGTGCAGTATGTAAGGGAATGCAGTGTGTGTGTGTGTGTGTGTGTGTGTGAGGGGGTGGAGAGTGTGTGAGGGAGCAAACAACAGAAGACTACCAGACCCTCCGACACTCCCGCACGTGGAGAAAACTCGGGTCCCAGAGGTTCAGCCTGGGGCTGGAGGGACACCCTCACTAGCATCTGCACAGCGGCGGACCTCCGAGGCCCACCGGCTCCTGCCGTTTCCTAAAAAAGGGCATCGGATGAAGGAGACTCCACCTGAGGCCTCCTGAACTCGCTGCAACATGACATTACGTGCAGTAATACTAAACCTGCCATGTCACACAAACGAGACTGTAGAGTTTAATGGGCAGCATGCCATTCAAGAGGATTCCAGACCACAGTGAAAAACTAATCTTTAGGCTAGCCTGTATTCAGCTCAGCATGTTTATACTACACTATTTCAAATAGCTTAATTCCTAGCCACACAACCCACCTTTCACGTAGCCTGCAAACCTAATAGGGGTGCGCACTAGGAACCCTTCTAACATGCAATCTCTTGTTTATCTTACATTATAAAATACACCTTTGCAAGCAATGGATTCCTCACGCTCATATAGTTTAAGCACAAGATAACTGAGCATGTCAGTCTTCACATATGTCATCCTCAGTAAACCCTGACATTTATTTTTCTTTGCTTTACTAATAAGTGGTACTACTATATTACTGAACTACTCTATCTTGATTAATTCATGTTTTCTATTATAAACTAAAATTGTGCATGACTATTCTATAACCTCTATTGTACTGCGGAAGCTATGCGGTGCCTTAGGTTTGTATGTAATCTTATGCACAGCAAAAATACAAAATTAAAATTAAAAAAAACAACTACTTGGAGGCAGATGATTAATGACTTTCTGGCCTTTCCACTTCCATACAAGTATTTAGCCACAAAGACCATCTTTTATTTCAGCTGGATAATCCTGGACAAACAAGTGTTTTCAAAGTCCCCCTCTCCAGTTCCAAAGCCCTCACCATGGAGTTAACCAAAAGCTTACACATTACTATCCAAAGGACCTCCCTGTATGACGGTCCCAGCCTTCCACTGTAGCAATCTGTTAAAGACAGCCTAGTCACACTTTATGGCAGCAGTTAAAGTGAACACCTATTCACTCCTTAGGAATATATATGTAGCATCGTTTAGCTGCCATCATGCTATATTGTTTATTTTTTACATTTCAAATGTTATTCTCATACCACATGTTAGATGTGACACACAGAAATGAAAATAGAATTAGAGAAATATCAAAACATTCAACAGTACAGTACAGCCAAATTACACAGTGTAATGAAGCTTTTTTTTTATTTTAAATGTTTTAACCATAAGAAAATGACAGGTGACAGATTAATGCATACTTTCATAAATTATTTAGCTAAAATGCATCTTACACGGTTCATTAGATTTCGTAGAGACAAGCAAGTTGTACGTTAAACTAGTTTCCATGCATTCTATAAATAAAAAGTATGTTAAACAAAATATAAAAAACTTACATTCAATTTCTCTTTGCTGATCCACGGTGCAAGCAGCAGCATAGATCACTTTCCCCTATGTACATTAAATAGCAGAGATTATTGGTACCCCTGCAATGGCCAGTATAGTGTCAAATAGAGTTAATGAATAGAGTTGAGTGGACACCTGGATGTTCGGGTTCGCCGGGTTCAGCCAAACTTCGGCAAAAAGTTCGAGTTCGGGACTCGAACTTGACCCCGAACCCCATTGAAGTAAATGGGGACCCGAACGTTTGGGCACTAAAATGGCTCTAAAAAAGTCCTGGAAAGGGCTAGAGGGCTGCAAAAGGAAGTAAAATGGGGGTAAGAGTAGGACAAGTGTCCTGCAAACAAATGTGTATAGGGAAATAACTTAAAATAACTTAAAATAACATAAAATACATAAAAATAAAAAATAATCTTGAACTAGGAGGAGGATGTGGAGTAGGAGGTTGAGGAGGCGGCCACCGTGTCGGTGTATGTGGAAGTGGCGGTGGAGGAGGAGGAGGTAGCCAACACTTTTTTATTTGTTTGTTTTTTTTATTTATTTTTTAATTGGGGTAGCCCCCAAAATATTGGTACATATAAAAAAAGAAAACAAAGAATAAGTGCACGTGAGTATAACAATGGCTGGGTGAGGCCAGTATAAATGTCTATTCTGCACAAGGTACAGACAAGTCTGGTGGGATCCATGCCTGGTTCATTTTAATAAACGTGAGCTTGTCCACGTTGGCTGTGGACAGGCGGCTGCGCTTGTCTGTGATAACGCCCCCTGCGTTATGTTGTCCTTGTAATGGAGATCCAGCAGGGTGGCCACCCAGTAAACAGCACAAGTTAGAATGTGGGCAACTCTGCAGTCTTTGCGCAGGCACTGCAGCATGTAGTCGCTCATGTGTGCCAGGCTGCCCAGACGCAAGGACAAGCTGTCCTCTGTGGGAGGTGTATCGTCTGTGTCCTCCATATCCCCCCAGCCACGCTCCAGTGATGCCCACGAGCTGCATTGGGTGCCACCCTGCTGTGAACACGGTTCCTCCTCATCATCCTCCAGAACTGTGCCCTGGCTGGTGCCACCTTGCTGTGAACACGGTTCCTCCTCCTCCTCATCCTCCTGTGCCCTGGCTGGACAATTGTGTATCTGGCCTATGCTGGTGCAGGAACCCACCCTCCGAGCCACTTGTGAATGACTGGCCTGATAACCGTGGAAATGACCCCTCTTCCTCCTCCGCCACATCCTCTTCCATCATCGCCCAAAGCGTTTTTTCAAGGAGACATAGAAGCGGGATAGTAAGGCTGAGAATGGCGTCATCGGCACTGGCCATGTTGGTGGAGTACTCAAAACAGCGCAACATGGCACACAGGTCTCGCATGGAGGACCACTCATTGGTGGTGAACTGGTGCTGTTCCGCAAAGCAGACAGGCGAGCAGCAGCAGGGTGAGAATGCCGAAATCGTGCACAGACGGCCCGCACTTTCTGCAGCAGCTCTGATATATCTGGTAGTGTTTCAGGAATTGCTGCACCACCAAATTCAGCACATGCGCCAGGCAAGGGATGTGCTTCAAACCGGCTAGGCCCAGAGCTGCTACGAGATTTCGCCCATTATCGCACACCACCAGGCCAGGCTTGAGGCTCAGTGGCAACAACCACTCATCGGTCTGTTGTTCCATGCCCGTCCACAGCTCCTGCGCGGTGTGGGGTTTTTCCCGCAAACATATGAGTTTTAAAACAGCCTGCTGTCGTTTCCCCCTGGCTGTGCTGAAGTTGGTGGTGAAGGTGTCCGGATGAGGAGGTGGTAGAGGAGGAGGAAGCGGAGTAGGAGGAGCAGGCAACAGGAGGCAAAGAGAAATGCCCTGCAATCCTCGGTGGCGGAAGGACATGCGCCAAACTGCTATCCGCCTCAGGCCCAGCCACCACTACATTTGCCCAGTGTGCAGTTAGGGAGATTTAGCATCCCTGCCCGTGCTTACTGGTCCACATATCAGTGGTCATGTGGACCTTGCCACAGATGGCGTTGCACAGTGCACACCTGATTTTTTCCGCCAATTGGTTGTGCAGGGCAGGGATGGCTCGCCTGGAAAAGTAGTGGCGACTGGGAACCACGTACTGTGGGACAGCCACTGCCATCAGGTTTTTAAAACTGTCCGTCTCCACCAGACCGAATGACAGCATTTCAAAGGCCAGGAATTTTAAAATGCTGGCATTCAGGGCCAGGGATTGTGGGTGGGTAGGGGGGTACTTCCTATTTCTCTCCAGTGTTTGGGAGATGGACAGCTGAATGCTTTCCATGGGACTGTGTGGAGATGCTAGGGGACGGTGGCGGACGTGGTGGCGTTGCTGCCACATCCTCTGTTTGCGGGGTGGCAGGTGCCACTGTCACTCCAAAGGTGGAGGGAGAGGCAGAGACAGCAGCAGAAGAGGAAGCAGGAGGAGCCTGAGACCTTTCTTGGTTTTTGAGGTGTTTACTCCACTGCAGCTAGTGCTTTGCATGTAGATGCCTGGTCATGCAGGTTGTGCTCAGGTTTAGAACGTTTATGCCTCGCTTCAGGCTCTGATTGCACAGCGTGCAAACCACTCGTGTCTTGTCATCAGCACATTATCTGAAGAACTGCCATGCCAGGGAACTCCTTGGAGCTGGCTTTGGTGTGCTCGGTTCCTAGGTGTGGTGGGCAGTAGCAGCGTACTGTCTATGGGACGGTCGCTCCGATTTTGCACCCTGCTCCCTCTTATGCTGTGCTGGTGCCTCTGTGCGACCACCGCCTCTTCCTCCAAACTGCACACGTCACTCGCATGACCTTGATTCCATGTGGGGTCTAGGACCTCATCATCCTCCACATCATCTTCCACCCACTCCTCAACCCTGCCCTCCTTGCCGGTCTGCTCAGTGAACACTGCAGAAATCCACAGCAGTTGGCACCTGTGTTTCGTCATCATCAGAGATGTGCTGCAGTGGTCCTCGCATGTCCACATCCTGAAACATAAGTGGTTGTGCATCAGTTCACTCAATATCTTCCACTTCTGGGGCGAGGCTAGGTGGATGGCCCACGGAAACCCTGCCAGCAGAGTTATCAAA